TTACGATACTTGCTTACTGTTAATTGAGCCATAAAAAGATTTGAGTTAAGAGCACACCGAGCATATAGAAAATTTATAATTCTTTTTACTTACGCCTTTATTTGTAGATTAGTGACATTATAATACGATAGAGTAGTGTTTAATGTTTAGTTTGTACCTCATTTTTAATAGGTACCTATACGCTATACGTACATAGGTAAGTTAAGATAAGGTAGATACTTAGAAATTAAGTTTTAATTTTTTGGTTTTTAAAATGTTTATTTCATTTTTCAGCTAGTAATATTTTTTTAAATTTATTTTGTTTAAAATTAATAAAACGTTATATGATTATGTGTCCTTTTTTGTTATCCTGTGTACTTGTTTGTTTACAGGTTTTTAGTGATCTGTCCTGGATTTCAAAAATTAATAGTTGGCAACCCTATTTGTAGTCCGATTTTTGTGAAATTTTCAGGCAATACCAATAATAATAAAATTTAGGGCGGAGAAACCTTTATTTTTTTGTAAATCTTTAAAAAGTATTTGTAATGAAAATTTTTAAAAGAAATTTTAAAAAGTAGTTATTTGTGTACCAATGCCGTAAAGTTGATCTTTTTTGGCCGAATCAGAAATTTGCGGAGACCATCTGTATCTGTAACGTGTGGAGAATGGGTTACCCCACGGCACTTAGGCCTAACTAGGCCCATTGTGCATCCTTCTAAGATAATAGGCATCTCCTAGCTCGTGAGCCAGCCTACAGATTTAATGTAGTTGACAACGTCGCCAAGAGGTGCTTCTCTTATATCGGCCGGTGTTAACCGATACTCGCCGAACACAAATCTTTTAATAAATGACAGCGCCGAGAAATCGTACCCCCTGCAGAGTGCGGATTCTAACAGCCCCATGATATGGAGATGCTTCGGTACTTGGCTTGGCAAGGACCAGTCAGAATGCTCGTGAATAAGCGCAGATTCTGTCTTAGTCATAGTAAAGTATTTGCTTGCTGCAGTGTTTTCAGGATAACTTTAAAGCTCTGCAGTTTCTTGTTTCATCCCATCTTTCCTTGAATTTCACAAGCGAATGTTCTTTAATTAGGTCTGTCACTTCCGATTTTGTCAGGCCAATAAAAGGGCCAGGTTTAAAAAGTATTTATTTAGCTGCTTTCTTGTTCAGTAAATCAGCAAATCGGTTACCTATCTATGTGGCGTGACCTGTGATCCATCTTGCGGAGGCTAAGCAACTTCTGGTTAGGCCAAAAAAAGATCATACAGCCGAGGTGCACACAACATTTTTTAGCCGACTGTTTTATCAAGTAAAGCCAATAGTTTTTTTACATTCTTGTTTTTGAAAAGAGGCCAAAATGCAAAAAGTATTTCAAATTTTTATTGATTGAATAAAAATACTATATAAATAATAAAATTTGTACAGACTTATTAACAATAAGTATGATAAATCTGTGTTTATAAAAAGGAGCAGTAAACCATAAATTAAATGCGGCCGAAAAAGTGACATTAGTAAATCCGTAATATGTAATTTTTTATGACAGTAGAAAAAAACTATTTATGCTTCAATATGTATTAAATCTATGAAATTTTTTTGTTTTCTCCTTTAATAAATATCTACCCAATGAGCACACACTCGTTTTTTCAACGTAAATATAACATTATACGGTATAAAAAACGTTATTGATTGAAAATGCAATGTTGAAATTATAGTTGAAAAATTAAACGTATAAAAAATACTATTTTCTTAAGCATTTTTCTAGCTAAAATAATACGTTTCTTTTTTTCTCGTTACAATTAACGTTTATTATTTATTTTGCTTAATATATTTAAACCGATAGTTGATTGTTTTTGCAAATAGTACGTAACCTATCAACATCAATTTAAGTTACTGTGACGCGAAGCCGTCTCTGTACTTTGTTTACTCCTTGTCCGCGGTATGAAGACTAGGGCTGGCCATATAGGGACAAACGCACCGCTTCGAGAAGCTGTCGGAGTGATTGATTTGTGGCGTCTGAGTCATAGAACAGGCAGTTTCCGGTCGTTCTGGAAAGCTAGGAGTGTACTGATATAGAGCTTTATATAAATAGCGCGAGTTTGTTGACGGAAGAAAAGATTTAATTTGTGTTGGAGAGTAAAGACAAATTGTAATAAGTAAATTAAAATTGTTATTTAGTGCCTAATTATTATATAAATTAATTAGTACGGTATAAATAAATTATAAATAAAGTGTTTTAAATAAATAAATTATAAATAAATTAAACAAACTTTATATTGGTGTTAGAAGTGGAACTGTAAATAAATAGTGGACAAAAATAGCTAAAAAACTGTGTTATTTTAAAGTAACGGAGTTACGACAGGAATTAGGAGATCCTGAGTTGGGGGCGATATGGAAGAAAGCAGAGCTGACAGAGTGGCTTAAAACAGCAATAGAAAGTAAAGGCTTGGATCTGGAAGCGTATTTATTTTCGGATGATGCAGCTTCTATAATTTCTTTAATTTCTTCCGATATAGAAAGTAAGATCTCTTCCTTAAAAACCGAAATGTTTTCTAATATGACCTCTATGAAAACCGATATACCTTCTAACATTTCTTCATAAAAGGTAAACTTTCTCCTGACATTACTTCCTTAGAAAGTAAAATTTCGTCTGACATATCTTCTTTAAAAATAGAAATTTCTTCCGACTTGAAAAGCAAAATGTCTTTATGGAAAATATATTTTTGTCTAATATTTCTTCCTTGGAAGAAAAAGTGTCTTGCGAAATGTCTTCTCTAAAAAATGAAATCTCTGTTGATGTGGAAAACAAGATGTCTTCTGTAGAGAATAAAAGAAGATAGAAGAACTGAAACATACAGACCAGGCGAAGGACTGTAAAATAAAGTGCTAAAGTTGAAATTGGAAAGGAGCTTTAAACTGAAAATGTCAATAATCGATGTGAAAAAACAAAAACAACTCTTTTCCATTTTCTGAAAACGAGAGAGGTAAATAAAAAAATTAGTAACTATAGAGTAAAGTGGGGGAATATGCTGCGATGGGTAATACGACGCAGTTGGATATCTCTCTTCTAAGGCAACATTTGGCAACAGTGTTCATGTTAACGTGTCAGTTTCAAGCACCAAACATTTGTGAATCCTTCAGAAATCAAATTAATTAGTTTCTTAGTGAATATCGTAAGTGTACAGGTAAGAACCGTCTAAAATATATTCTTCTGTCAAGATATACCTAACGGTAACAGAAGTTCTAAGTGTTTTTAATCCAGTTTTAATAGGAGTATGCGAAAATACGATTCCTAACCTCATTCTTTTTTGTGGAACAATCCGTTAAACTTGTCTGAAATAGGTGTTGCCACTTTTTGAATTAATATGTACAAAGTGGGGTAAAATGCCTCATAATTTATAACTGCGGCATATTACCCCGAGAGGCGGTATATTACCCCTGATACATTTTTTGTTTTATTTTAGTAATTGTCTAGATGCCTCGAACGTATGTTAGAAAGAACGTGAGGGCTTTATGGCCCGAAGAAGATCTTCGCAATGCTATTGATGATCTTAGAAACGGTAGAGGTTCAGTTCGCCAAATTAGTCATACGTACAAGGTTCCTGCCCGTACTTTGATGAGAAAAATGAGATCAGGGAACCTCCGTAAGGAAAAATTAGGCCGCAAGAGTTGTCTGACTTTAGTTAATGAAGCTATTTTGGCATTCTGGTTTTAGAACCTATGGTATATATCCGTTTAATGCCACCATAATTCCAGATCATGTTTTTATTCAGCAAAATCCTGAGACAATTCCCATTAACGATATTTTAGAAGAAAACGTTAATGATGTCATTCTTAATGATGCCCCTATTATTAATAATACCCCTACCGATACTCCTAACGATGGGGTCAATATTATTGATGACGTTGCAGTATTCTCCAAGACCAACAACACAACATTTGAGGAGATTGCGCCTATTCCATTTATGCCTGGGTCAAGTGGTTGTCAGAAAAGGAAATAGCATGCTGAGCTACTTACATCTCCAGAAATTATTGCACAAAAACGACGCAAACAAGAAATAAAAGAAAAAAAGGAAATTGCAAAGATAAAACGCAAGCAAGAAAAGGATAGAAAAGAAGGTAATGAAGACAAGAAAGAAAAAAGAAGACATTTACTGTTCAGAAGAAAAAACGTATTGCAGGGGCTAGTGATGATACCAGTTCGTCAGATAGCGAATTGGAAGTGCTTACAGTAGAGAGCGAGGGTTCAGAACTGGAACATGATGATTCAGAATTTTGTGCCCAATGCGGTGGATACTATTTTGAGAAAAAAGCTCCAAAATATGATTGGTTATAATGTCTAAAATGTCATGATTGGGTTCACGAGATATGTACTTCTTCCGACGCATATTGTGCAGACTGTATCCCACTAAATCAACTAGCGAGTAGGTGTAGAGCTCTGATGATATGTTTTATTAGCCTATGTATAGTTGTAGTACTCAATATATTTGCTAATATTTTTTTCTAATCTCATCTCAGAAAATTGTTAATTTCTTACGAGAAGAGCATGTTGCCATATTCCCCAACGCGTGATGCCATATTACCCAAGGGTACGGGTAATATGGCAATAGCATCCGAAATTTCTGCTTCTAACTATCTTCGTAGTGGGAATATGGCAACGAGCCTTTCTCGTCAGACACCCATATAGACACGCTCTAAGATGTTACCTTTTCCTTGCGGCTAAGTTGGTTGTTCGTTATAATGTGAGCGTTTGAAGTTTATGTTGCCATATTCCCCCATTTTAATCTACCTACCCAAAATTTCAAAAACCAAAGATGCTACAGATGGGAAAATTAGAAATTTTCGTATTAGCCTTTTCAAATTTACCGTAAAACAATATGTTATTTTAACGAAGGAAGAAAACATCTTTTAACCACTATTTAAAAAAGTGTTCACAGACATTGTATTTTGCTCCTTGTCAAATTTTATTTGGATCACTTTGAGTTATCTTGAATAATATTTGAAATGTATGTTATTTAACTTACTTTAAGTTCTGTCATTAAGCTTTCGTGAAATCCGATAGTAGCATATTTGGAAGCACTGTAGTCCACGCATTTGTAAGTACCAAGAAGACCAGTAAGACTTCCTACAGTTACAATATGGCCAGTTCTTCGTTTGATCATATCTGGCAAGAATGATTTCGCAGTCTGAAAATCGATAAAATGGGTAAACATTTTCAAGATAAACTTATTAGGTACTCTTGTTTGATCGGCTTTAACTTGATGAAAATTAATAATATTAAAATGAGAAAAACCAAACAAGGTAGATTTTCACAAACTTCGAAACTTCGAAATAATTGTCGTGTACTTTTTAATTTTTGTTTTTATTTTTTAAATAGAAGTGTCTGAGAAAATCTACCATGTTTGGTTTTTCTCATTTTAATTAAGTACTCGTTTAATGAGAATAAATGCACAATAATTAGGCGAGTCATTAGAGATAATCATTTTACATTAATTACAAAAGTTTTCATACTTTGTTGGAATATTGATTAAATTGAAATAATTGTAAATTTAATTTTGCAACTTTTTTTGAGGTCCGGAACATAATAATTCCAAAAAATTAAAATTTATTTATACTCTCTTAAAAAAATTGCAAAAGTGCGGCAAACTTGAAGTGATATACAGGGTGTTTCAGAATATATGCGCAGGACTTCAGGACGTAATAGCCCGTCCAAAAATATGAAAAAACGCCCCAATTTCGAGATACAGGGTGTTGAAATTGACAAAAATGTCTACGCCACTGGAAAAGTACGGTTTTGAGACGCATTTGAACCGCCAATGTTTTCTACACAAAAAAGGTACTCTTGGTCATACGCTCTAAAGTCGACCGTTTTCGAGAAAAATCAAATTTTAATGTTGTTTTGAAATTTAAAACCTACTTGATGAAACAAAATTTGATTTTTCTCGAAAACGGTCGACTTTAGAGCGTATGATCAAGAGTACCTTTTTTGTGAAGAAAACATTGGCGGTTCAAATGGGCGTCTCAAAACCGCATTTTTTCTAGTGGCGTAGAATTTTTTTATTTTTTTTCAATTTCAACACCCTGTATCTCGAAATGGTGCATTTTAGAGGGTAAATTAATAGAAACGTTTTTTCATATTTTTGAACGAGCTATCACGTCCTGAAGTCCTGCGCATATATTATGAAACTGTATTATTTTCAACATTATATTAGATTTGCAACTCTTTTGAAAGTCCGGAACATGATTTTTTTTTGTAAAATATTGTTTCTGTTTTTGGAACAGCTATTCCAATTTTTTTATTTTCCTCTAATTTTGTCAAAAAAAAAAAAAATGCAAAAGTTTTAAAAATTGGTTGCAAATGTAAATATTATTTTTCTTAACAATCTGGTAACTTTGGAACTTCGGACAAGGTCCGAAACCTTGAAAAATTAACAAAAATCAATCATTCGCACCATGGAGATTTAATTCAATTTTATCTTTAAAAATCTAATATATAGATATAAACTAAAAGAAAATTGTACAATATAAAGATGCATGTTAGGTATTAGAAGTGCAGATATATAAAAGTTATAACTGAAGGTGGATCATAAATATAAAATTAATTCCGGGAATAAAATAATAATAATCATCATCATTTTAACGATTTCATGCATGACCTTGAAAGTGGGATTTATTACAACAAAAAATCCAAAATCTATAGATACATTTTTAAATAGGTCCTGCACGGTCAGAGAAATGTCCCTAAGATTTAACGGAAAGTTCGATCTTGACTCACCGATGCAAAATTACATCTGGAAAAACTGTTGTTACACCAGGCCAATGTAAGATGGACCAAATATTTTTATATCTCAACGACATAGATACTTTTATAAATGACGCATCATACAATCCGAGTTTAATAAAGTATTTCTTAACGTAACTTTAGTAAGAAATGCCTATATTTTATTTTGGGAATTTTTAAAGCTAATACCGTTTTAAAATCACTCAACGTTTTGAGCAATTGAAAACTTATCCGATTATGGATTAAGCAGGTAATAAGACCCAATAAACACTTGACCTGTTTTGCACAGATAGAATTCAAATACATTCTGATTATCTATGAATTGATTTCAAAAACCTATTTATGAAAAAAAAAATATTTTACTATTTGCATGCTCGGAGCACGGGGTCCGGTTTCGTCATTCGGGCAATCAAAGTATGTTTTTAACGGTGCCTCAAATCCATTACTTTGGGAACAAAACATATCCATTCGAGTTGTACACTTAGATGCTTTTATAACGAATAATTTGATTTTCTGTTTTCATAAAAATATTTCATTCAAATCCACTCAGGTTTTTTTTTGTTTTTTTTACGAATCAGTGAATTACACTCGTCCAGTTCAATTGGTAGTTATAGCATACCGACGTTTTCTTGTAAACTCTATTTGAAAACTGCAGTCTACCGACGCCGACTCGACGATTCGATATAACCCAAAACAAATCCTTAGGTATTACCTAAATGGCGTATTTACAACGGTATTGGGTTAATTTCTTAATCTTGGCTCGATTTACGATATTGATTGTTTTCTCTTCTCTGTACTAATTTATACCGTGTCGGCCAATTATTTAATATGGGGTAAATATAAATATTCTCTGTATACTCGATAAAAAAATGAAAACAAGAAATTATTTAAATATTTTGCTTATGAATATATGAATTTTTTTTTGTTCCCCTAGACACTTTTCTATTAATTTTACAATGCAAAATTGGTCATAGACAATTTACAATTTTTGCATTAATCTTGAAGCGTTGCAAATTTGAATTTATTTATAAGAAGGTTCTGTAAAATTTACAATATACTTTTTAAATGGCAACTGCAAAATGTGCGAATTGTTGATTTTTCTTAATTTTTCAGGGTTCCGGACCCTGTCCGAAGTTGCAAATTTACCAGATTGTTAAGAAAAATAATATTTACATTTTCAACCAATTTTCAAAACTTTTGCATTTTTGTTGACAAAATTAGAGGAAAATGAAAAATTATTTTGATATTTTTACAAAAAAAATATTTCCGTGCAAAAGGAATGTTGAAAATTGGAATAGCTGTTCCAAAAACTTGTATGAGTTATGTCATCGGTTTGCGGCACTTTTGCAATTTTTTTGTAAATGATATAAACAAAAACGCTATTTTACAAAAAAAAAATCATGTTCCGGACTTTCAAATCTGATATAATGTTGAAAATAATACAATATATATTGCTTTAAGTTTGCAGCACTTTTGCAATTTTTTTCTAAACATTATAAACAAAAGCGCAATTTTGGTATAAATTAACTAGTTCCAGATCTTGCAAATGGTTGCAAATTTAAACTTAATGTTATTTAAACTAGCCGATTATTATTGTTTGAAAACTTTTCTAATTAATGTGAAATGTTCAAAATATGATGTCTTCACTGACTGGCCTATTAGGAGTATATTATGTAGTAAAATGCTTAGAGGGAAAAACATTGGAGTTAAAACCTATGACCACGTTTATTGTAATCAAGTATTTTGTTATATAAATTATTAGCGATTTTGCATTTTCTCCAGAAAACTTGCTTGATATTTAAATTTTATTAACAGTGTAGCCACTTTTTAGAATTTTTCAAAACACTACTCAAAAGATGCATAATCATGTTGCTATAACTTTAGTGTTAAAAAAGATATTTTAGTTAGTTTATTTTTTTTATTTAGTACAATTAAATACTTACCCAATAATGCGAAATAACATTTACTTTGAATGTTTTTTCAATCATATAATCTGGAATGTCTAAAAATGTTTGTCCACAAACTACTCCAGCATTATTGATAAGAATATCAACCGGACCTAATTCTTCTTTAACGATTTTTGCATATTTGTAGACCAAATCTTTATCAGTTATGTCGACAGTATATGTGTGAATAGTAAGTCCTAATTTTTTTAAATCTTCTTCCAGTTTTTCCAACGCTAAACATGGGAAAAAAATTAAATTATATTATTGACCCTATTTGAACATTAAAAAGAGTAATTTTACAGAATTGTTTTGCGATAATCAGCTTTAAAACCATTAGACATTGACGTGGGTTTTCAAAATACAGGGTGTCCTTTAAAATGTATCCCAAAATTCTCAGGCAGATTCCTTAACCAAAAAATGGAAAAAAGTTCCTATAGACATATGTCCTAAAGTGCCCCCTAAGCGAGCAACAGCCTCTCGAAATCATTTTTTTTATTTTGATTTTTTTAATTTTCTTAAAAATGGAAACAAATAAAAGAACCAAATTTTGGCTGTTAAATATGATCAATAATAGTGACCTTTTGATACCTTCAAAAAGAAATTATTTCGTCAGGGGTGTACTTGGGAATTTTTTGAAAATTTTGATTATTCATAACTTTTTTGTGTTTTTGGTAATGACTTATCCATATTTTTTTTTACATTCTACATTGAAAACTACGTCAAAAATGAATACTTGTTTGATCTCGATTGGAGCAGCCGTTTCCGAGAAAACATCATCCAAAGATATTCGTCCACTTTAGCTTAATTTTCAATTTTCCTAAATTACCTCGGTGAATCTCGTAAATAAAAATAACTTTTTTAGCTCTCTCTAAATAATTGTAGTTCAAATGTCGTGGTGGGACTATTTTTATTTAATAATAAGAAACGGTTTAAAAAAATATTTATTCTAAAAAAACAAATCAAAAAAAATTAAAGCAGATGCTCAATGTGGCGACCATTGGTTTCCACACACAAGCGCAACCGTCGCATCATAGACTGTCTTACACGAAAAAATACTTCAGGATGATTCCTAAGAACTTCGCAATGATGAAAAACTCGTTCTTCCAATTCTTCAACTGTTTCAACAGGACTGGAATAAACCAATGATTTTAAATAACCCCAAACAAAAAAATCCATTGGATTTAGATCTGGTGAACGAGGTGGCCAGTTAACAGGACAACCTCTGCCAATTACTCTACCCTCAAATCTTTCGTTAAGGTGCTGTCTAGCTTCAAGGCTGTAATGTGGTGGAGCTCCATCATGCATAAACCACATGTTATGTCTGATTTGAATCGGAATATTATCAAGAAGCTCATGTAAGTTATTTTCCAAAATAAGCCTGTATGCTGCTCCATTTAACCTATTCGGCAAAACAAATGGTCCAATAAGGTAATTATCAATAACTCCAGCCCAGACGTTTATTGAAAATTTATCCTGGTGGTGACGTTCAACAACCGCGTGAGGGTTATCTTCAGCCCATTCATGCATATTTCGAAAATTTATTATACCATCTCTAGTGAAACCAGCTTCATCGGTAAATAGCACTTTATTAAGAAACATTGCATCTTGATTACATCTTCCAAGAAACCATTCAGAAAAGATAACTCGCGGCTCATAATCAGTAGCTTTAAGTGCCTGAACTTTTTGAATGTGGTAAGGGTACAATTGTTGTTCACGCAAAACTTTCCATACCGTGTTACGTCCGACTCCCACTTCTGAAATTAAATGAGAGAATCTGTGTAGTGAATAGTTAAGAAAGAGAATCCATTGATTTGGGAAATCAGATTTTTTCTGCATAACGCAACTCTTTTCGATACGAAAAGTCGTGAAATGTAAGAGAAGCAATAACAAGTAAAAAAACTAGTTTTATACGATAAGGTACGGGGTAGCTAAAATAATAAATAAGTAATTACTTACCATTTGCTATTTTTCTGGTACTTGTCGATGGGGTTTCAGCTACCCTATCCAAAATTGCTTCTTCCAAAGCAGGAGTTCTCACATAATTTTGTCTTCCACTGTTACTAGAGTTTTTCTTAAATGTACCAGTTTCCCGAAGTCTATCGTCAATTCTAGAAAACGTCTTAGCGCATGGAAGATGCCTATTTGGAAAGCGCTCCTGATAAAGTCTGCGAGCTTCATTGGCATTTCCAGAAGCGAGTCCAAAACATAAGTGCATGTCCGTCATTTCGCCGAATGTGTAATCATTATTGTAGTTATTGTGAGCCATTTTAAACAAAATAATAACAATACAACGAATCGCACCAGAACACTTTTAGAAATAATGTTTAACTGAAGAAACATTTTTATCAGTGAGCGAAAAAAATTATCCATGAAACACAAAAACGCCAAAAAAATACATATTTTTACTTTTTTATTCTAAACAGCTAAATACAAACCTTATGGTCTTCATAATAAATAAATGGGAACTAAATTTTTAAATTTTATTTAGAGAGCTAAAAATAGTATACAGGGTGATTGATTAGTGTGAGGAAGCTCTGTAGATCTGTTATAATAAAAGTAGGCAGCTTTAAGCTTCACATTTTAAAATTAGTTACGATGTGACAGGGTGTTTCATAAGGCCGTGCCAAATCAAAGTTATGTTTTTTAAATGGAACACCCTGTATATTTTTATATTTTTAGAATCTGCTCGATAATCTGATTTCAATGATATATCACACTTGTTATCTAATATGAATAGTAAAGGATCTACAGCTACTCAAAAATCACATTTTTTCAAATTCAGGTGGCTGTTGTAGCCAAACAGTTGGAAATTGAGGAAAACGGCTTACAGTCCCTATCCTAACTTTTTAAGGTCTATTCAGTGACATAAAATACATATTATTTGATACAGGGTGATCAAAAATCCAAAATCACATCCGATTTTTTATCACCCTGTATCAACTAATATTTTTTGCCACTGAATAGACCTTCAAAAGTAAGGATAGGGACATGTAAGCCGTGTTCCTCGATTTCCAACTTTTTGGCTACAACAGCCAAAATTGAAAATTAACCTAAACTGCACGAATATCTTTGGATGATGTTTTCTCGGAAACGGCTGCTCCAATCGAGATCAAACAAGTATTCCTTTTTGACGTAGTTTTCAATGTAGAATGTAAAAAAAAATATGGATAAGTCATTACCAAAAACACAAAAAAGTTATGAATAATCAAAATTTTCAAAAAATTCCCAAGTACACCCCTGACGAAATAATTTCTTTTTGAAGGTGTCAAAAGGTCACTATTATTGATCATATTTAACAGCCAAAATTTGGTTCTTTTATTTGTTTCCATTTTTAAGAAAATTCAAAAAATCAAAATAAAAAAAAATGATTTCGAGAGGCTGTTGCTCGCTTAGGGGGCACTTTAGGACATAGGTCTATAGGAACTTTTTTTCCATTTTTTGGTTAAGGAATCTGCCTGAGAATTTTGGGACACATTTTAAAGGACACCCTGTATAACGAAATTAAAGAAGACAGTATATTGCAATATCATATATTTATTATGTTAGTTTATATTCGGCTGTCGATAGGTGAGGATGTATGTTTATTAACATTATTCCCTAACTATACTCTATTCAACTTAAACGCAAGTAACGCGTAAACACAATAGCTCCTTGAAAACAGCACAATGAGCTAGAGCAGTCATACTCAACCTGAGTCCAGCGGGCCGCATGCAGCCCTCCAACAACTTTTCTTTGGTTTCTGTTTTTAAAATCCTGAGCGAAATATGCGAAAGTGTTTGGAACAAAGGGTTTCTGCAAAAACAAGATAGCTCCACTTTCGGCATTTTCGTCTCCAAAATAGTTCAAATAATATATGGCATAATCAAGACAAATGTGAACGAAGTCTATATTCGTAATAAACAAATGGCCAATAAAAACTAACTCCATATTAATACATATGCACAAACAAGATAACTGGCATTTATACCGAAATATAATTATAGTATTGTGTTCAATTGCTAATAGTGTATCTAACAAAACCAGATAAGAGACAGATAACTTATTATATAAATGTATTTAGTGCGATTCGTAATAGTGTTTTTGCCAAAATAAGATAAGAGCAAAAATACTTATTTTTTTGAATGTATTTGTTGAATACTTTTTGATTAAACCAATTGTTGTGTCTAGAACAGTCTCTATCCTTTCTCGATAGGTTTCAAATCGATAAGATGATTACGTCACCCTTTCTTTTCACGATACAGCTAACCTTCAAAAATAAATAAATGATAACACGTGATGCCCTAATCGCAGTGATAAATTATTGATTGGTCAAGCTGTAACGAGTGATTGGTTAAGTAATAACGAGCGGGCATGCTGACGCTCGTCTCCATATTCTTTGCACGTTAAAACGACCAGAAGCACTTCCAGAATCATCGAAACATCTAAACAGCAGCTTTTCGCATTGCTTGAAAAACCCAAGCCATGCCGACAGAGGGATGTCTGAAAGAGTGAAATAAATGCTCTGAAAATACAAAAAAAAACGCATCTTAGTAATGCTAAGAAGATTTACTAAAACTTTGCAAATCAGGTGCTACACCTGATGAATTTAACTATTATTATCACAATCTACATTTATCCAATAATGTTGAACACTTCCTGAACCTTCCACAAAAGCTAGTAACACAGATATTGCACAGTGCACATGGATTTTATTGATAGAGAGAGGCATTACATAAGAATTGAAGTTTGTTGAACGAAGATAGGCATCTCAATACGTGCCGTATAGAAAAGATAAAAATCCCACTACTGTATGTAGAGAGCTAAAATAAACTAAGTGACGTTTTCTATCTTTTTTCTTGTTACCAATCGATATATTCTTAGTTTATATTTTAATTATGTTTTAAATTCCTTTTTTTTTTTCATTGGAAATGTTATTTATTAAATAGTTCAAAGCTTTTATTCCATTTTAAACTTTTGAAGAGCATTTTCTTGAAACTCTCAAAATGTGAGGTATCTTGGTTTTTGCAATAACCTGACGTGATATATGTATGTTTTGTGTTTTATATATCAGAGGTTCCCTCTAACTAATTTTAAATGGATGGCCTAAATAAAGGACATCATCCAAAAATATTGCGGCCCGTGTAACATAGCAAACATACGTATGTGGCCCAAAGGAAAATAAGTTGAGTATGACTGAGCTAGAGTGTAGAGAAACATCCAAAACAGAATCACTGTGCTGGCCAATAGCAGCCAG